CAGGAGAGGGCTTCGGATCCTGTGAAACACTGGAGTTAGGATGGTGGTTAGCCACCATGTGGGTGCAGGGTTTCAATCCCGGCTCCTCTGCAAGAGCAGATAGTCCTCTTAACTGCTGAACCATCTTCCCAACGCCCCCACCTTTTAAATTTTATTTATAGGTTTATGTATTTTTATGTGTATGATTCTTTTGTCTGCATATATGTAAGTGCACCCATGCATGCAATGCCCATGGAAGCCAGAAGAGGGTTTCAGATCCCTTGGAACTGGAGTTACAGATGATTTTTAGCCACCATGCTGAGAACTGAACCTGGGTCCCCTGGAAGAGCAGCCAGTGCTTTTAACCAATGGGCCACCTCCAGCCCCCAGTGTATCTTTAAGAATACAGTTCTTAGGACTGGAGAGATGGTTCAGGGCTTAAGAATGCATGCTCCTCTTGCAGAGGAGGTCACTCCTCTTGACCCAAATTCAGATCCCACCACCCATGTCAGGTGGCTCATAACCACCGATAATTCCAGCTTCAGGGGATCTAACCCTGTCTTCTGGCCTCTGCAGGCACTGCACTCATGTGCACATACTCCAACACAGATGCACAAATACATAATTAAAAATAAAGAAGAGTCTAGTTCATTTGTCCTTTAGTTCTTTCTGTCATTATCTTCAGGGATGTTTTTATTCTCTCACCAAACACTGTTTTCCCTTCAGAACCTATGCAAATGAGAATGTGGAGTACCTGTTTGCTTTGCATTCTGCAGAGGGTAGCGTCTATCAACGTACATTTTCATTGGTGTGATCCACCAGACAACGTATAAATTGCTGTAAAACTGGGAAAGTGTTTGAGTACAGCAGATGTTCTCTTAGCATGAAGCAGATGTAAAACTTGCAAGTGTCTGTCTAATAAAGGATAGCATTTGGTTCTAGACATCTGGTGCCAAGATTACCAATTAATCATGTTTGAATGTGTTTTTACTAATTAGATCCCCCTTTGGTTTTTACTGTTCTGGGTAAAGAGAGGGGCAGGGCACAAAAGCTTGCTGCTTTTAGAACATGGACCAATCCCCCACCCCACACTCACCGCCCAGCATCTTTGTAAAGGCCATTAAAAATCTTAGAATCTTAGAGGAAGTGAAACACAAAGATGTGGGAGAGTGGTCTGGCTCTCCCAGTGGGCCTGTAGGTGTGATGTTAGGGTACTGGTGAAGGCAGGAGATAGTGCTGTGAATACTTGAGGAGTGTCGTTACACTGAACGCATGTTTTCTGATTTTTAATTTGCATAGGCAAAAGCTATCATACCAATTCATAGTCTCTATGGTTATTTGACTGAGTGGGAGTTTGAACATTCCAGAAACAAGGGATACCGTTTTGATTTTGTTTTATCAAAAGCAATAAACCAGTTGTTCACAAAGATTAAAGAAGACTGGATTAATGTCATTACTAAGAAAGATTTCCTTTATGGCTCTGAAAGATAGATCAGTACCACCTTGAGAACTAAGGGGATAGTGTCAGCCCACTCTTTCATTTTCATAAAGTAAGCCTGCTAATAAAGTTGTTTCAGAACCAATGACTTTTCCCTTCCCTCCCTCTCCCCCTTCCATCCTCCCTCCTTCCCTCCCTCCTTCCTTTATTCCCTCCCTTCTTCCTAGGGCCTTGTATAGGTTAGGCAAGTACTGTACCACTGAGATACCTCCCCAGCCCTTCTACATTTGTTTAGACAGTTTCACTGTGTAGGCCAGGCTGCCAACTTGTGGTCCTCCTGCTTCAGACTCCTGGACACTGGGACGGCAGGCCTGAGTCACCATGCCCAACAGGACTTTGTTTTTTCTTTTCTCTTTCTTTTCTTTATGTGTGACATCCCTAAGGATATGTTTATTTTCTGTGAAAGGAGGGTCAATATAAAGGAAGGTTTACTCTGCCTCTCTCACCTTTCTAAAAGAAGCGAATGGTATCACCTAATAATTTCCTGGAATTAATAGTTCAATATTTAGATATTCTTTTTCTAAAATTGAATTATTTTAGTATCTTTTTAAATGTGTATGAGTATATTGCCTGCGTGTATGTAAATGCACTCATGTTGTACAATGCCCACAGAGGTCAGAAGAGGGCTTCAGCCCTCCTGGAACTGGAGTTAGGATAGTGGTTAGCCACCATGTGGGTGCCTGGAACCGAACCTGGGTCCTCTGTAAGAGCAGCCAGTGCTCTTAACTGCCTAGCCATCTCTCCAGCCCGGAGACCTTCTGTTTTGTTTTGTTTTTGTTTTTAAATATTTTATTATTTTTATTTTATGTGTATGCGTGTATTGCCTGCATATAGGTAAGTGTTCATGTGTCATGCAATGCTCGCAGAGGACAGAAGAGGAACCCTGGAACTGGAGTTATGGACAGTTGTTAGCTTCCGTGTGGGTGCTGTGATTTGAACCCAGGTCTTCTGCAAGAACAGCCAGTGTTCTTAACCCCTGAGCCATCTCTCCAGCCCTTTGTTTTTAGGGTTTTTTAATTTACTGCATTAATTTGTGTATGTGTGTATGTGTTCACATATGTGGGTGTGTACATGCTATGGCATGCCCAAGGAAGTGAGAGGGCAGCTTATGGGAGTCAGTCCTCTCCTTCCACTCTGTGGGTCCTGGAGATGGAACTCAGGTTGTCAGGCTTAGCAGCCGTACCTGCTAAGCCCTTTCAGTGGCCCAAATTCATATTTTTAAAGGATGGGAAAATATTTAAAGGGTAGGAGAAATACATTAAATAATTTCCAGGTCTGAAGACAAATAGCATGAATGTTTGTTCTAATGGGATGTTTATTTTTGAAAAATCATGGGAGGTTGGGGAAGGCAAAGTGTGCTCAAATGAGGGGTTTGTCAGTGCTTGTGTGTAGGGTGTCACCTGGGCCGCTAGATGGCTCTGCCACAAGCTAAATGTGCATAGCATCGTGTTTTACAGTGTAATGCAGAGTCCAGGACCTGGCTTTTGGACCTTGAGAGCTTGCTTGGAGGTTCTAGCGGGGGAGTTGAACTACTCACATACCCTTGACTGAAGATCATCCTCTTTCAGGGAAAGAGCACACAGCTTTGGGAGGGACACACGTGGAATGCTGAGGGAGGAAGGGGACACCAGCCTAGCCAGTCAGATCAGCTGAATCAACCCTGGTGATCAATGGGATGTTGCAGCCAGATCACCCTCCTTCCCATCTGGATCTGGGTTTTGGAACACTAGAGTAAAAGTGTCTGTAATGATGTAGATGATAATTTTTAATCATTTGTAACTTTACATGTGTGTGAAATGCACCAAGAATAGCAATGGGATTATTCTAAAAGTCATCTTCCTCTTATCTAGGGCCTCCATATTTGTGTTAGTGGTTTAAAATTTAAATTTAATAAGTGTCTTGTAACTGGATTGACTGATGGCGATTACTTTATATGTTTAGTTCATCTGTGATTGAAAATTTTAAAGCGGTGTAAGTATTTCATAGGACTAGTGAGTCCACAGCACTGCACGAAAAGAATTTAAAAAAAAAAAAAATTAAAAAAAAAGAAAAAGAAAAAATTCAAACCCTGAATAATTCTTGTAGCCATTTATCCACATGAGCACCCACCAGGGTTACATTTATGAAAGTAAAATTTGTATGTACAAGGTCTATCCCATTTGAGGAAGATGACTATGTTCTAGTTTGCCTTCAACTGCTATGACAAAACAGTCTGACCAATACCAACTTGGGTAGAAACCGGTTTATTTAGCTTGTATCACAGTTCATCACTGAGGGAGCCCAAGGTAGGAACTCAGGGCAGGAACCTGAAGTTAGAAGCTGAAGCACAGGCCATGGAGGAATACTGTTTACTGGCTTGCTCCCTGGCCCATGCTCAGCCTGCTTGCTTATGTAACACAGGACCACCTACCCAGGGGTGGCACCACCCACAGTGGGCTGGGCTCTCGCACATCACTCAACAATCAAGAAAATGCCCCACAGGTATAGCCACAGGCCAGTCCAATGGAGGCAATTCCCTAATTGAGTCTCCTGCCCAGGTGTGTCAAGTTGACACTAAAGCTATCCAGGACACTATATTTCCTTAGAATAAGAGTTACTGATCTTCTATGGCACTGCTACCTTTTAGTCAGGGATCTGATGCTGTTTTGGGTGTTTTTGTTTGGAAGGTCTTTTTGTTTGAGACAGTGTCTCCCTGTAGCCCCTGCTGACCTGAAGTTGCTCCGTAGATCTGCCTGCCTCTCGAGTGCTGCTGTTAAAGGCATGTGCCACCATGCCTAGCTTTGTTCGGTTGGTTCTTTTCTGAAGCTTTAGTTTTCACTTTGCTCTGTGCATGTGAGTGCAGGCGCCCATGGATGTCAGAGGCACTGGGTTTCCAAGCTGGAATTAGAGGCAGTTGTGAGCCAGCTACCCTGGGTGCTGGGAACTGAACCTGGGTCCTCTGACAGAGCAGCAAGTGCTCTTAGCCGTTGAGCCATCTTTCTAGCCCCAATGTCTCTATTTGTGTGTTATTAATATTATTTGGGATTAGTGGTGGTATCTTAAAATTTTCTTTACAGCTTTAATTTGTGTGAAAACATGAACTCAGAAATACTCACTTAAATGGAACAATTTCTGTCCATTTAAAAAAATGGTTTATTGTGGGAAATTTTACACACCCACAAAAGTACAGAGAATAGTGTAGCATTCCCTAGGCATCCAGCCCAACATCCAGGTTTAGCATCCACAACCTGTGATTCTGGTTAACCAAGAATTTTTTTTTCTTTTGATAATAAGCCAGGGTAGTCTAGACCCTGGCTTATAGTCTAGACCAGCTTTGAACTCATGATCCTCCTGCCTCAGCCACCTGAATGTTTAGATTACAGGTATGTGCCACCATGCCTGGCTCCATCAAGATTTCTTGAGACTGTATTTTCAGAGTATTTTTCTCTTTCACAGTATAGTTCTACATCTTGTTTCCACAGTAACAATGTGTATCTCAACAAAACTAGGTCACATAAACCCAGTATTTCTCACTTTGTTTCAGGAAGTGGAGCGAGAAATCTCATTCAGGACAGAATGCGGACTGTACTATTCCTACTACAAGCAGATGCTGCAGGCGCCAACCCTCCGGCAAGGTAATCACACTTGCAGTTTTCCACAGCATTTCATTGGAGGTGTGTTTTGCACTTGACACATTTTTAATTTATTTTATAATTATATGCAAGTGTGTGTCTGTGTGTGGATTTGTGCACGTGAGTGCAGGTTCCTGTAGAGGCCAGAAGAGGGTGTCAGATCACCTGGAGCTGGAATTACAGGTTGATGTGAACTGCCCAACGTGGGTGCTGGGAATCAAAATCAAACACAGGTCCTCTGCAAGAGCAGCAAGTACTCTTAACTGCTGAGCCATGTCTCCAATCACTGCACTCATATATTTTAAATGCTTTCTTGAACTCATGTACCTTTTTTCTCTGAACTCTCATAGATTTTCCTTGCCAATGTCCAGTCACCCCATGAAAATGTTTTGTTCAGGAAGAAGTTACACAGTACTTTATATAACTGTTTTCTTTTTAAAAAATATTATTTTATATGTATGAGTGTATTGCCTGCACGTATGTAACTGCACCTGTGTTGTATAGTACCCTTGGAGGTCAGAAAGAGGGTGTTGGAGCCACTGGAGCTAGGGACAGTTGTTAGCCACCATGTGAGTGCTAGGAACTAAACCCAGGTCCTCTGCAAGAGCAGTCAGTGCTCTTAACCACTGAGCCATCTCTCCAGCCCTGTATAACTGTTTTCATCCTTGCATTCCAGTTTTTTTTCATCTACAAAATAATGTATTTGCAATTTCTTAGTTTTGTTCTGATCACTTGGGAAGAGATCACTGCAGGTGTGATGGCAGGTTCTGTTAACTTGATGCAATCTAGAATCACCTGGAAAGAGTCTCCGTGTGGAATTGTCTAGTTCAGGTTGGCCTGTGGGCATGTCTGTGGAGGATTTGTCTTCATTAACTAATGTGGGAAGACCCAGTCCACTGTAGGCGGTACCATTCCCTGGGTTTGAGTGGAGAGAGCCATCTGAGTGGAGGCACATGTGCATGAATTTGTCTCTGCTCTGGACTGTGGGTGTGTTGTGACCAGCTGCTTCAAGATCCTGCCAGCTTGACCTCCCTGCACTGATGGACTGTGACCTAGAATTATGAACTAAAGTAAACACTTTCTCCCTAAGTCATTTTTTGTTTTCAGGGTATTTTGTCACAGCAACTGGAAAGGAAACTGAAATAGCAGAAGGGCTGTCTAAAAGCAGCAGCGTTCTCATGGGGGATTACTGCTGTCTCGTCCCCAGCGCTCCCTTCATCCCTTTATTTGATCATTTTCCTGTGTTCTTTTTCTAGATGGTTTGGAGTTCACACTGGCTTTCTTCCATCTAAGGGACCACTTTGACTCATATATTCTTTTTTTTATTTATTTTTATTTTGTGTGTATGAGTGTTTTGGCTGCACCCATGTCGTGCAAAGCCTGTGGAAGCCAGAAGAGGGCGACAGATCCCCTGGAACTGGAGTTAAGGACAGTTGTTAACTGCCATGTGAGTGCTGGGAATCAAGCTGGGTCCTCTGCAAGAGCAGCCAGTGGTCTTAACTGCTTCTTACTGTTGAGCCACCTCTCAGCCCCTAAACTTTTTTTTTTTTTTTTTTTTTTTCCGTCTTTTTGAGACAGGGTCTCCTTGTAGCCCCAGCTGGCTTGGAACGCACTATGTAGTCCAGGCTGGCCTCCATCTCTCAGAGATCTGCCTGCCTCTGCCTCCTGAGTGCTGGAACTAAAGGTGTGCGCCACCACACCTGACTCATATGTTCTTGATAAGCCTCACATGGTGCTTGGGACAGAGGTCCCCTTCTGGGTATCACTTGAATTTAACAATGGTATTTTTAGTGAGAATTTTTCATTAGTGATATTTTGTGCTTCTGATTTTATCATAATAAGGAGACATGAAATTTTGGTTATCTTTCTTTCTATGCCATGAAAATTCATCCCATAGTCTGTTGATAACCAGATTCCTCTGTGGTATGACTCTACCTAGCAGCCTTGGTTTGCTGTTGGTTTGCACAGCCAGGACATTGATCATGTCCTAGTTTGCTTTCTGTTGCTCTGATAAACATCATGAACAAAAGCAACATGGGGAGGAAAGGGTTTATTTGGCTTGGAACTTACAGTTCATCACTGAGGGAGGCCAAGGCAGGAACTCAGGGCAGGAACTGAAGCACAGACCATGGAGGAATGCTGCCTGCTGGCTTGCTCCTCTGGCCTGTGCTCAGCTGTCTTTCTTGTACAGCCAAGGCCCACGTGCCCAGGCACGGCACCACCCACAGTGGACTGGGCCCTCCTACATCAGTTGGCAATCAGGAACATGCCTCACAAACATAGCCGAGGCCACCTATATCTATTAGTTCACTATACACTGTGGCATTCTGATTCTGATTCCTGCACAAAACCCTTTTCTCATTAGTGATGTGGTTACCTCAATGTCTAGTCTGTGTAAGAAAGGCAGACTTAGTATTTCTTTTGCCCTATATGATCCTCTTTCTTCATGAATTCCACATTTGCAGAATCATCTAAAATTTACTAAAATTTATAACTAAATTTGCTGAAATTTTCAACTTCAAAACTGGTATTCATGGCACTTCCACAGCCACTCCCAGACCTGTCCAGCGCAACAAAAACTTTTAGACAGTAATATCACATTCCCAGCAGGATTGAACAAGAGAGGCTGCGTCCAGCCTTGGTTTCACGCTCTCAGGTTCCAGCATCCTCTTCAAAGGCTATTTTGTGCCACAGTGGTTTTACGTTGTTATGCTGGTTTTTGGACTCTCCCCCCACCCCCTGTTTCTTTATATATATATATATATTTTGTATGTGTGTGTGTGTGTGTGTGTGTGTGTGTGTGTGTGTGTGTGAGTGCGTGCGTGCTACAGCACACATATGGAAGTCTGAGGACGACTTTTGGATGTCTGTTCTTTCCTTCTACCACGTGGGTCTTGGGGATTGACCTCAGGTAGTTGGGCTTGGCACCAAACACCTTTACCCCAGGTAGTTGGGCTTGGCAGCAAACACCTTTACCCACTGAGCCATCTTGCTGGCCCTGTTTTTTGTTTTTTGGTTTTGTTTTTTGATTTTGTACTTAAAAGCGCCCCCAACTGTGAACATGATGTCTAGAGTCCCTAATTGTGAGTAGGCTGTGATGTGCCTACAAAGCAATTGTGTGTGTTAGATTGGCTTTGTTTAGGTGTGAGTGCCCGTGCTTGTCAGCATAAATTTCATTGATAATGACCAACATTAAAGAAAGTGTCTTGAAACAGAAATACACATAAGGCCTTGTTAATATTCACCAATTGATGTAAGTACATAATCACAGACTTGCACGAACCTAAACCATTATTTCCTACCCAGTATTCCATGTTTCACCTAACACATTTAGTGTGTGTGTGTGTGTGTGTGTTTGTGTACTCATGTGCCACAGCATGTGTGGCGATCAGAGGACAACTTTTGGTAGAGTTGGTTCTCTCCTTACACTGTGGATTCCAGGGATTGAACTCAGGTCCTCAGGCTTGAACGGTAAGGGCTTCTACCCACTGAGCCATCTGGCTAGCCCAGTATTTCACTTTTAAAAGCAACACTGTAGTGTTACCACTGTGCCCTGTCTTTGCTGTTTCTCAGAATTAAGAGTTGCTTCTCTGCCATTTAAAGCAGACCTTCTCATCCAAAGAAGGTGGCAGCTGTGTCTGTAGGGGGACATTCCTTAGGAACACTGGGAGGTACTGTGCTGCTGAGATCTAGTTAAGTTTTTGTTGTTGTTGCTTTGGTCTTTGTTGAGCCAGGGTCTCCCTGTAGCCCCAGCTGGCCTGGAACTCGCTGTGTAGACCAGGCTGGCCTCGAACTCACAGAGATCCACCTGCTTCTGCCTCCCAAATGCTCTCCCTTTCCTGTCTACCTATATCCCTCCTCATTCACCCTCAACCAACACAAAGTCTAAAACTAATCTTTTTGGAGTTTTTTTTGTAACTCAAATTCGTGCAGTTCTGAAGCATGAGCTTTGTAGACAACAGCACCAGGTCACGGTGCCAAGGGTATACCTGCTTGCATTCCTGTATGTTCATCATCTCTCTAAAGCAGTTACTTAACCTGGTCAGTATTGTCTGCTCTATATCTTTGCTCCCAATCTGGACTTTAGAGTGAATATAAGACATCTTGCTTTGACTGTAAATAAGTCAGTGTCTCAACAGTGTTCTGGGTTTCAGTTATTTTTACAGATTTTAGGGTTTTTTAAAAATATTTTATTTATTTTGATTTGATGTGTATGAGTGTTTTGCCTACATGTATATAAGTGCACTCATGCAGTACCCGCGGAGGCCAGAAGAGGGCACTGGATCCCATGGAACTGGAGTTATGAACAGTTGTTAGCTGCCATGCGGGTGCTGGGAATTGAACCTAGGGTTCTCTGCAAAAACAGCCAGTGCTCTTAACCACCAAGCCATCGCTCCCCGTTTTTTTAGGCAAGGTCTCACTGTGTAGCCCTGACTGGCTTGGAACTCGCTATGTCGATCAGACTGGCCTCAAAGTCAAGAGATCCATCTGCCAACTTCTGCCTGCCAAGTGCTGGGATTAAAGGCATGTGCTAGCCTGTCCCATTTTGCAGATTTTTAAATTTTTATTTATTTTTATTTTATGTGTATGAGTGTTTCACCTACAGGTATGTAAGTACAACACATGCACACAATGCCTCAGAGGCCAGAAGAGAGCTTCATATCTCCTGGAACTGGAGTTACACATGGTGGTTTAACTGACATAGGGTGCTGAGGACTGAACTCGGGTCCTTTGCAAGAGCAGCCAGTGCTTGTAATTGCTGAGCCATCTCTCCAGCTCCTTCGTTTTACAGATTTTTAACAGTTTTTGAGTTGCAGATAAAACTGTAGTGGTTTGCAGCCTCATGTACTGACCCCTTAAATCTAATGGTATCCACCTTTTGTCCGCTTTTTGTTTTGTTTTAGACTTTTTGTGACAGTCTCACTCTGTAGCTCAGCCTGTCAAGTGCTGGCTTCCAGGCCTGAGCCACCACAGCTGGCTTTTCCCTGTATTTCTGTGAGAAG